GCTTTTTTCCCCCCAACCCTGGATATAGGAACAAAGACGGGCCTGCTGCTGCTGTAGTAGAGTTTTGTATCATGGCAGAGCAGGTGAAGACACTGCTGGGGTCTTCGGCCAGAGACTTCAGGGCTAAGCTACTATGCCACTCCTTTTGTAATGAAATCAGAGAGTAATTGTCGGTGTTTGTAGGCTTTTGATCTCCACAATGGGTATTATATGAATTGAAATTTTAGTTCTTTTTGTGTACAAGGCACAGATTTAAATTCATATTATCCCCATAGACAATACTGGGCATTGAAACAGTAATCTCTTTTCACTCCTACCACACGTTCACATTTTCCCAATTTTAGCCAAGTTTGATTTAATATATAGCATGTTCATTTTATTTTTTGTAACTAATATATTGATGGGTTTACAGAGTTTTGGGTGACACCTTTATTTCCTACTATGACAGTGCCCCTGTGCTGTCTGTTCAGATCCTGGTAGGATGATGACAGATTATGAACAATTCACGGCAGTCACTTACTTTCTGCAAACATTCTGTTTTTTCCTTCTTTTTGTTTCGGCACTTTGCAGCAGCAATTTTGTTCCTTTCCCTTCTTCGCTTTTTTCTTTCATCCTCTTCAGGAGAAAACTATCCCATAAAAACAGATACACACAATCCGTAAGATTGTCGTAAATACTCAACTTGTATTTTCATAACTTCTACATTTTTAAAAGCAACGTGGATAGTGTTGTCAGAGCTCACATCATGAGTTACATAAGGAGGCAATTCTGACCTTGCTTGCCATACAGTAAAATGGTAGCAACTCCATTAGAATTGTCAATAAAAACCTGACTGGAGTTCGGATGGATGTAATCCATGTGATGGCTCCTTTTAAATCAATGGTACTTGAAAAACTTGCCAAGCATCTCCCCAGGCTGACTCCCACACCTCCATCTCTTCTCCACTTCCCAAGGAGGAAAAGGAGCAAGGGGAATGAACGGGGCAGTGAACTAAAGGCAGCTCCGAAAAGGGGATATTAACAAACTCCCTCAAGCTTTGTTTCGTTTCCTGAGGAGGCTCAGGCTGAGGTGTGGCTATTTCCCTAACTGAAGCTATTTCTCCACTTTATAAGAGAAAAAAGTTTTTCACAGAGACTATTATCTTAAAGTATAAACCTGGTCTGGACATAGCATGGCTGTGTCTACTCAGTGTAGTCCCCTGTGTTCACTGCACTGTCCTCACTCAAGTAAACCTGCAGTGACCTATTTCAAGTTCAGCCACAAGCAGCCAGGGAAACCAGATTAGCACTTCCTCTAATTTTGTAAAACATTGTCTTTAGTTCATAATCAAAACCAAAATACTCAACTAGAGGCCTCAATGGAAATGAGAAATACCAGAGAGTTTCCCAGAAGCACTTATCAGAAAGCCAAGCAGCAGGCTTGAAAGGATCAAGCGTGGTGGAGAGGGTTGTCTGATATAATTAGCGGTCTTGTGGTGAAATTTTATTAGAGAATTAATCATGCACATTGAAATGCTGTTTAAAAAGTCCTACCTCTGTTTTCATGATTGATGTTTCAATTGGCCTTTCAGAAACTGTCACCGTGTCCAATGTAGAAGACATCCTGTGGGACTGACGCTTGTTCTGAATGGCGAACCGCAGTTCCTCTTTCACCAGTGGGGTTAAATTTGTGAAATCATCAAACCCCAGTGACCCTGCAGGGGACAAAGTGGGAACAATTGCGGAGGCGCTGACTTCTAAGGCAGATACCTGGCCTGAGTGTTGGACCATCATTTTGCTGAAAGGTAAAAAGAGATAATAACAGTCTTTCAACAACTTTAGAAAGGCAAATAATATCTCTTAGCAGTATATTTTATAATGTGAAATAATACTGTATTTCTTGCATTGCTTCAGTCCCTATTCCCCGTCAACCTCAATCTCTCACTAGAGTTAAGCAGTTAAGAATTTGGTCATTAGTTAAATCTTCTACTTTAGGTTAACTTCAAGTTGGTATTTAAAAATAATAATAATAGTATTAGTGCATCACACAATATCTATCTAGGTCTTTCTGAAACATAGCATGGAAAAAGGTTTTTATGTGTATATATATGTGCACTTTGAAGTTTTAAAGTGGTAACGTGTGGCAAATGAGAATTGAGTGAACAGGAGGAAGAGAATAAGGAACAAAAATCAGACAGCAAAGAAATACTATTATTCTTTAAAGCACAGGAGTTTAAGAGTATCTCCATCTTCAGAGCACCACAGCTTCAAATGGACAGAGCGTACCTTGATCTTACTACATTTAGGCACAGCTCAAAGAGTTCTCCCAGAAGCTGAAGTTTGCTAACCAGGACAGAACCTGTCACAAAATGATCATGCTCAATTTTACACAGAGTTGTAGATCTGGTTATGAACTCCTGAAAAATGGTTAACAATGAGAGCCAGCACAAAAGTAAAATTCTATACATGCTCTGGGGCTTCAAAGCACAGGCTGAGTTGGAGGGATTGAGTCATGAAAAACGTGAAGCCATTTGTTTCGTTCCTTTGCTCTTGTAAAATCTGAAACTGTCCTCATCTGCCCTCAACGAGAGGTTTGAAATTCTTAAATATTTATGGTCGGATCTCCTGCTGATATAAAACAGTGTGACTGAAGAAACTTCAGGGGAATTATGCAAATGGACACCCATGGAGGAACCTCATTTCTCGTAGTTTTCCTAAGAGAATGAAGCTACCCAACAGTTCTGTCTACTTTCCTCCTTTTAGTCATTCTTATTAATTTTTTAGCCAGTTTTGGAGGGTGAGAGGCCTTCTATGTGCTTTGTGAAAAATGGTGATCCCACTGAGGGACAAAGAGGCAAAACTCAGCAGGCAGCCATCCTAACATTGTGGGCAACCTAGCTAGCAGATGCACACAGCTCTGCATGAGACCCAAACTGTCTCTTGCCCAGAAGAAGGGATATGAGAGGTCTGAAAGAAAGCTGAGCAATTTTTGTGGGTGGCCCAAGGGACAAAAGGTGCAAATGCATAGGAAAACAGATTATATCCCTTATTCATAAAGTGGCTTGTGTTAAATTGGATTTTACCATGTTGGTTTTCCAGCTTTCTTTGGTGTGTAGGTTTTATGGGGTTTTTTAATAGCTGTACAGGTAATTACAGTATGTGTTATCTACTCTTGATTAGAACTGTAATAATTATAGCAAAGTCAATTGTAATTAACAGTGCAGGTAAGCAAACAGTTGCCTCAGGGTAGCAGCGTGAGTAAGTTAAACTTCCACACAGTCAACCCAGGATTGCAGAGTTCCCTGTAAGCTACTTCTGTAACCCAGCAAGAAATGCTTGGGGTCACGTGCCTAGACAAGAAGATAGATTTTACCCAGAGATATCTAAAAATACACTGTATGTCCACACTGGTGCAAATGAGAGTAGAATCTGGTTCATTGCTAAATGAGGTAAATATAAAAATGTGAGGACAGCGAATTGCCAGGTGGTAGTAAACTCCACGGCTGGCTGCAGAGAATTCCTCACTTCTCCTTCACCCAGTCACCACAAAAGAGCTGAAGATTTCCCAGAGTCTGGGGGTGAAATTCTGAACACACTGAAATCAAGAGGACTTTTTCTGTTGACCTCAATGGGGCCAGGATTTCACCCAAAGTTATTAAAGATGAGGAAATTATTTGGAACAACTTGTTATTCAGAAAGACCTTGGGAAATTTATGTAATTCTCTTCAGAAAGCCCCTGCTCATGAGTCACATTTAAAGTACTGATACTGTTTAATCCCATAATCTCAGAAAGCTAGCAGTTACTCTTTTCCAACAAGTCAGAAACAGCCCTACAATTTCTAGCTAAAATCCTCCAAGCATTATTTATCATTTATCAACATTCAACCATTCAACTAATTTAAACAGGCTAATTCCAGATGACACTAAACCCCTCAACACTAGCAGAAATTTTAGCTATTTTCACTGAATGTCAATCTCCTTGGCTCCCAGTGATGGCTTCATTCAACAAAGTTAATTCTGTATATTTCAATCAAACCAGGAGTCTTAAAGTAACAGTAAAGCCGTTTCTCCAGCCTACAAAATAATTACTTGGGCTAATAATTTTCCAGCACTGGTGGTTTAATCAATTATTTTTCGGTTTAGGTGAACTTTTAATTAGGGTCAGCAGCAGCACCAGAGGGAAACAAGAAGGTTCATGTTTTAGGAACATGTCTGAGAAATTGTGTTAATGGTGGATTTCTACTAGTCAGTGCTAAGTGACTACAAGCACCAACAAACCCCTACTATAATGTCCTCAGGTTCTCTCATCCGTCTGTCACTGGTGTAAAAAAAGGAATGGGAGTGTGTCCACAGGGAGGGGAAACACAGGGGGGGAAATGTCCTTGACCATAGAAACTTGTGCCTCTCCTGCCTGAACAGCTCACTGACCTTCCAGACATCCTGAAAGGGATTTCTATTTATTCAGACTTTAGGGAAGGGGGGCCTACCAGGGGGCTGAGGCTTGTGTAAGGATTTCTGCCGTGAGCCCAGTCCCATTTTGCAGAGCTGTTTGCCAGTGGTTTGCTTTCGTGGGGCTCTTTCTTGAGGCAGGGCTTCTGGACAGTGCCTAGGAGGGTAGGGTTCCACTGAGATCCTTCAAAGCCACCGTGAAACAAGTAACAAAAATAATCAGCCTTACGTCAAATGTACTCATTAAGCTGAATAGATTCCCTTTTCCTAATAACAAGGTACATGTTTTCCAGTTTTTGAGAAACAAATCTGCTTTTAGAAATGTTTTACAGGAATGAAAATTAGATTTTGCTATTTAAAAAAAAAAAAAAAAAAAAAAAAAAAAGAGGTTTCCCTTTCTTTTTCTCCAATTTTTGTACAAATTGTACTTGTACAAATTGTACCTTTGTCTAGAAGGCATTAAAAGCAGTGTCTCATTTTCTCTGGGTTTGTAAAGGCTGGGGAAACAGTAGGAATAAGAATATCAAATCTTAAAGTATGATTACATCTGATACGATCTCTGTTTACTTTGTCAGACCACGCACATGGACCTCAGCTCCAGGCTGGTTTGACTCCTCCTGAAGTTACTGACACTGAAGGTGCTGAAAGTTTCACAGACCTGCACTGGAAAGGCACAGCTTGTTCCCCGTGTGAGTTAATGCTTCATTACTTTATCCTTAGTTTTGAAATTCTTCTAAGAGAACAGCTTTTCTATTAATGGTACTCTCCCAGTTTAGGTAGATTCAAACAGCGTTATTCATTTCTTCTCCCCCTACTTTTTGTTTTTTTCTTTTGCTAATGATTCTTTTCATCTACAGTGAACTTTTTACATCTCATCTGACAATATTTTAATTTCAGGACATACTTCCTAGCTGTGCGTTTCTATTATTTAAGGGTATTCCTGGTTTATATTATTATTAATAATAATTAATAATATTAATAACATTAATTATTATTATTTAAGTGACTACTTTCAGTCTTTTCTTTTTTGCTTAACTGCAGATGGCTGGACTGTGCCTCTTGGTTTTATTTCTTCATCTGAATTCCTTTTCCTCTGGTGCTGATGCAATAAACCCCGATAACCATTGAGGTTAATCTTAAACAGCATTAAGAGCAATTACAGTTCACAACCTCTTTGCACGCTGGTTGACCTTAAGCTTTCTGACATCCCACATCGTTCCCCAACTGTTTTCTGCTGCCTTCCAGCTTCTTAAATGCTGTTACTGGGAGGAAAATCGTTTTCCGACAGGAAACTCCTTCTCTGAAACAAGTTTGCTGTTGTGTCACGCCTGACTTGATGAGGCAACAGTTCAGTAACTGATCTCCTTCACGTCAAGACGCGGGGACAGAAGGAAAAGTGAGCGTCCCGAGAGTCCCCACTCGTGTCGCGTACAGGGAACGGACAGACACACGGCAGTGCGGGGGTTACTCATGGCCTGGCCGGTCCCTCTACACCTTCTCTCTCCCTGCGGACCCTCCGGGCTGGCGGCGCCGCCGCCGGCTGCCTCCACCGCCCGCCAGCGCTCCCGCATCCCCGCCGCTCCCGCTCTCCGTCCCGCCGCCGCCGCCGTCCCTCCTCGGAGGCCGCCACCGCGCGGTGCCGAGCGGCGCTGCCGTCCCGGGGACAGCCGGGGCTCG